AATTATATCAATTTTACTAAAAATAATGATTCGATCGTCCATGGTCACACGACATGCTTCCAACATATGTAGGACAATCGAATAAGTTCATCAAGTGAGTTGATGCTGCTCGAAATCATAACTATAACGAAATTTAAGTCGTTTATTTTCATATAAAACGACAATTATATCATTTTGACTATAAATGACAATTCGACCGTCCATAACTGCCCGTCATGCCTTTAACATATGTAGGACAATCAAAAGATGTTATTCAATGGGTTAGATCTCACTTAAAAGAAACTAAGGGAACATTTGTATTTACATAGTTGTCTAAACATCTTCGAATCATTCCAATAAAAAGAAAGAATCTCCATTCACTATTTCCAAGTTTTCGAGCAGTATCAACTCACTTGATGAACTTATTCGATTGTCCTACATATGTTGGAAGCATGTCATGTGACCATGGACGATCGAATCATTATTTTTAGTAAAATTGATATAATTGTTGTTTTATATAAAAAGAAATGATATTAATGTTGTAGTTATTATTTGAACTAGAATGATCTCAATTTCGTCAAATTTGCACTGAAAAACGACATGGACGTTATTATGTTATTTCATGGTTCGATACATAACTATATAAATGTCGTTACCTATTGAAAGAAACAATTTCAACGTCGTTTTAATAATAATTTAAACTGGAACGATCTCAGTCTCTTCAAATTTGTACTGAAATAACATGAATGTCGTTATGTTATTTCTTGGGCTTGATACATGACAATATAATTGTTGTTACCCCATTAAAAAAAGACTTCAATGTTGTCTTAGTTATGACTTGACTAGAACGATATTAATCTCGTCAAATTTGTACTGAAACGACATAAATGTGGTTATGTTATTTCACTAGTTCGATACATATGTATTAAAGAAAACGATATCAATGTCGTTTTAGTCATGATTTGAACTGAAATGATCTCAATCTCATCAAATTTGTACCGGAACAACATGGATGCTATCATGTTACTTCCCGCATTTGATATATAACGATATCAATTACGTTACCTATTAAAGAAACGACTTCAATGTCATTTTATTTGTGATTTAATTGAAAAGATCTCAATCTCGCCAAATTTGTATTGAAACGACATGAATGTCGTTATGTTATTTCATGAATTTGATGCAATTATATTAACAGAAATGATATCAATATCGCTTTAGTCATTATTTGAACCAAAATTATCTCAATTTTGTCAAATTTGAACTGAAATGACATAGATATTGTCAATGACTTCAATATCTTTTTGTTTACAAGAAACGATTTAAATGTCGTTATGTTAAGCAATTACAATTTTCTTACTGGAAGACATTAATATAAGTATAACGACATTTGTGTCATTCCAGAAAGATAATACGATATAAAAGGTTGATCTGTAATGAAAAAAACATAACTTAAAATGACTTTAATATTATTCCATTAACACGAAACCAATAACATAAAAAAGCAACATGATGATTTTATGGTCGTTCCAATACCACACAATTATTAGCACAATGACTATAAAATGTAATAAATCATTTGGTGATTTCAATGAGTACAAAATAATAAAGCAACATCATTTGAACAAGAGCTGACATCTCCATTTTCTATAGCATTATATTAACCTTCAACACTTCTTTGACTTTATCATACAAATCCACATAAGAAATTATTTTCTAAACAAGATTAGGCATTGTTTTTCCTTCGCCATTCTCTACATATTTTCATTTTCAAACATATTCAACTAACTGCTCAAATTCAACTAGATAACATACTGAATCTATAACATATTTACGGTGTCCATAATTGCAATTCAACCAAAAAAATTTAAGTTCCATCAAATATTAAATATCAAATATATATATATATGTTTCACATTAAATATCAAATATATGTTTCACATTAGAACAACAAATAGAATTGCCAATCATGTTTTTATCAACAATTGTTTTACTTCAAAAAAAGGGGTAAGAATAATATATTAAAAGCAACCCACATCAAAGCTCTAATTCAAAATCATTATTGATAAATGAACATCATAAACACAAATCACAATAATATGAAGAAATGATTTAGAAAAATTGAAAAAAGTAACCTAATTATTGAAATTTAACATTACCGCCTCTTTTTCTTCAAATGTCCAACAAGAATGTTGTAAACTTTAACTACTCACTTCAAACAAATGAGTGTTTGAGGGAATAATAATGGTAAATTTTAGGATTTCATGAAGTAGAGAAGATGATGATGATAAAAAGGAGAATAATTGCATACAAATTGCATAAAATGGTAGATTTTTACACAAAAGGATATCTTAGTAATTTACAAATTGCTATCTAACTAAAAAAGATAGTTCTTAAACTTTACAAATAATTTTTTACTTTGACTATGCCTTTTAAATGAAAGCTCAATTTTTTTTTTTTTCTAAAAGGGCTTTTTAGTTGGCTGTGTTTTTTTAAATGTCCACTTCAAACCCTCCAATTACCACATAAGCCTAACTTACTAATTATTCACCACAATGGTCTTTTCAACATTAGAAGATTAAAAATCCTTCATTTGAAAATTTAAAAGCAAGATCTATTAACAGACCCCCTTGTCTTGGAGTGTTTTGTCTCCATTTTTTGTTTGAAGTTCTTACAAATACAGATGATTTTTCGTAGGCCTTGAAAGAAGCGAGATATTTAGAATGCTATGCAACTTTGTAATGAACCATATCCAAGTGGCTTGATTCTCCTTCTCTACAATGGCATAAGCAATGGGATATATACAGTCATTCGAATCTAATCCTACTGTTAAAAGCATTTGACAGCCAAAAGTTCCTTTCAAAAAGCACCCGTCCAACCCAATCAATTGCCTACAAACAGATATAAACCATTTCTTACATGTGTCCAAGCAAATATGTATTCCCTGGAATTTTTATTCATTGAAACCTATTCTCACTATCGAATCGGGATTGATTCTAACTATCTCTACTGCAAAGTTCCTAAGTATTCCAAATTGATGTTCATCCAATCCTTTAATCGGTACTTTCGCAAACCTTTCTAGTTCTCCATGTAGTAACTATTGGGAGTTTACTTAAACATGTGCAACGGAAATAAAACAATTTTCAATTCCGATCAGGAATCATCTTTGTATTTAGATAGAAATTGTGATAAAAGTTATACATTTTTCTAGATCTGCAAACCCCTTTGCTTTTTCTTTGTTCCAATGATCTTTATTCGCCACCAATAATTATCCAATTATCCAGCCTCTAATGGTGATCCTTATAGAAAACAAGATTATAAGATTAAGGTTTTCTTCTTATGCTAGCAAGAATAATAAATCTTCTACAGATTTTGAAAACTTTAGTCATATTTATATAAGCCCAAATGGGATTAACCTGATCCAGTCCAATATTTAATTAACTCATTTAATTAAATTTGATCCATGAATTAATTAATCAAATTAATTCACACCTATAAATAAGCAACCAAATTAATCAATTTATCTAACGCTTGTTAAATTAATCAATTGACAAATCACAATCTTCCAATTCTCTTTTTGTGTGCGACCAATCAGGTTCCTGATCACGATACCTAATAATGTGAAATATTATTTTGATCAAATCAAAATTGATAAATTAAAGCACCATTTTAATTTATCACCAATTCACACTCGCCGTCCCAGATTGACATCTAACAATGTGTCAAGGCAATATATGTGACGAAAAATGTCACGTGGAATGACAAAGCCAAACTCGTTCGTTTACCATGAAATTATAATCCCTCCGTCAATATGATCCGATCAATTACGAGATATGAAAGTGTGTCAATTTTGATTATCGATCATATCTTTCACTCCATTATTAAGCCAATATAAGTCGACAACTCCTTTTCGACTTATGAGTACACCTTGGCCAATGATTTCGTTATCGACTTAATTGAATAAAATGGAGATCATAATCTCTTACTATCTAAAAGTGACGAATCCTCTGTTAGTCATTCACAACCTTTATACGATTCTTGACATACCCGAATGATGCCATATTAGCAGATGTTGGCGGAGCAACATTCAATACCGTCAAAACATGACTGTCCTCATATAAGGTACTATGACGACCTCAATTCAAAGGACCAATCTCACTACTGAACGTTAGAGATTAACCACTAACATTCAGATAGTTATCCATGTGGAATCTCTCGACAAGTCTCCAATATTTTGTTCTATAACAAAAATATCCACTTGTTCATTTAAGTATTACCACACTTTAACTTGTGAAATCAGCTACTTATTTCACAAATAAGAAATGTCACACGTGATGGTCTATTCATATCTCGTTATTACTTACGACCACAGACGATTTAAGATTCAATCATATGTAATTTGTATCTCACAATCACAACTTCTTGTGGTTAATAAATTACCAAGATTTGAATCTATGGACTCTATTATTTAATTTAATTGAATATTAATTAAATAATAGATATGCTATAAAATTGAATTAATTATTTATTAAAAGGTGTTTATGTCCAAAGTCAATTGGATTTAGGGCATAACACTTACAATAACCCTATTAGTTTCTAGTTTTAAATCATCCTTAACCCTTTTGATAAAAAGTTTTGTTCTCCAACAATGATCAACCTTAAATATCTCCAAATACCTTTCCACTAGATAAGCATATGTGTAGAGCCTATTAGTATTGTCGCTGCTGCATTTATGATTTGGATTGCAAGACTTAATATGTACACGGTCCTTTTTGTTCTAAGAAGCCCAAATTCTCCAAGTACAATCCTCTATACACACACCCTATGCTCTATGAGTATTGTTCACCTTGAATTTTATGTTAGTCCTGTTCATGGCCCCATAGTGCTTAACTATTTTCTTGAATTTGGCTATGTCCCGAAATCTTTTGCCTACTTCTAACTTTGGATCGTACTTTTCCATCTCCACACAAAATTCGGGTAATCTAAAATTCTTTTCTTCACCAAAAGAATAATCAATTTGTTGCTCCTCAGAAGAAGGATAATATGGCTCGTTTGTATCGGACATATATGAGTTGTATCGGACATAGATGAGTTGGCTTGGGCTGACACTAAATTGAACCCCAGCGATGTGCGCTCCAATGTTGACTTATCAAAGTGAAAACTGTCTTCGTCAACCTCATTGTTAGAATCTTTGAATTTCCATTCCACATGTAGCACTTCCTCCTCCGGTATGCTGGGATCTACATTATAATAATCAAATAAATTTATTTTAATGGTGGTTCACAGGAAAAGAATATTTAGTCCCCCAAGTTTATTAATTCAGATAATACAAAAACAAACATCTGTCCTCAATTCATTGCAATACAATACTAACCTGGGACTATCTAGTAGCATACAATTTCTAATAGCAACCTACATTTCACACATTCAACATAGAACTTAGCAGTAGGGCGGTCCTGTGATTTTCGGAGTCCCAAAATTAGATCTCCAAAGTCAACGTAAATGCAAAATTCAACATTATATTGTGTAATCTATTGTAAACTTAAAACTTAACCTAAAGACAATTACAAAATATCTCAACCATTTCACAATTAAAGTTTTCATATAGTTTCTACGTGAGCCTGTACAATTGATCATACAATAATCAATCATATAAGTCGACAAGGTTTCAAACATTTCCAATATATTCAATAACAAGTTAGGGAAAGTCATTGCTTACCCGAGAAGTAGAATTTCGACAAAAATTATTGGAATCACATCATTGAGAATTCACCGTTAAAACTCATAAACCTGAAATAAAAATTTAACATCAACCACCAATACAAATGTACAATTTTATTGCATTTATCTATTCATCATAAATTCAGAATTCTATTGCAAATTACAATTTCATCAGAAATCCTAGAAATAAAAAATCTTATTTTAACTATTTTCAAAAATCAGAAAGTGAAAACCAACCATAGATAAGATCACAAGAACCAAAAATTAACAAGAAAGACAATTAAAATTGGATTACAATTTCAATTTGCAAATTGCACAACCTACAATTTCACAAGTCAATTTGCGCACACAAACTGCACAACAGGGCTCGGAAGCCTCTTGGTAGCTCCATGGGTGTGATTAGCTGGCTGGAGTCTAGAGGTGCGACTTTTGCATCAGCTCCACCAATTCAAAAAATATATAATGACACAAAGTTCGAATGGATTGCTTACAGATAATTCTGGAAACAGCAACCAAAACTTAGCTTTTAATCCTTCCAAAATCCAATCTTTAATCATAATATCAATAGGATTCAAAGGAAAACGAAGAATCGAACTTTTTAAAAAATTGCTATAATCTATATAGAGGAAAAATTGCATGAACCTATATCCAGTGATTGAAATCACTTCAAATTACCAAAAGCGTGAACAAAGACCACTAAAAGCAATATTGGTCAAAGCAAGGGAGAATATACCACAAAATAAACCAAGAATCATGAAAAAGATTCAAGATCAATGAGGCATCAACATCATGAAAACACCAGAAGAACAGATTTGGACCAGGTAATGGCTCCAAACATTCAATTTAATCCTTCCAAATATTCGTGGAATAATCCAATCTATACTCATGCCAAGAATCACAATATCTTAACGTTAGGATTCAGGGGACAAACAAAAAAATTCAAAAGATTTGGAAAAAGTGAAAGAAATCCGGACAAAAGCTCCATTAAACCATAAAATTTTTCGGTTGTCAATCACAAGAAAATACTAATCACTGAACCAGGCAATCGGATCGAAAACTCAATCCTTCCCAATCACAATGTCTTCACATTAGGATTCAGGAAATAAACGAGAAATCCAAAATTTTTACAAAATACGAGAATCTCATCCTAGTAGTTGAAATTACCGAAAGCCACAGAAATACCAAAGGAAAACAAGCTATATAGGATGAGAAAACCAAAGAACCATTTCTAAAGCCAACCCACTTTCTTGTTCTCTGCAAAAGTTAACATAAACCCAACAAAAAAACTTAAAACTTATGAAAACTCCCCGAAACGATTTGAAGGGAAAGCAAAAGGATAAAACCCTTTGAGTAAAAGCAAAATTTAAGATGGTCTTATGGGATCGAAAATTGATTTTCATCACACCAGCAACAAATACAGTAATTAAAAAGCCTTGAAATGCGCCCCCTGGCACATCTCCAAGTGATAAAATGGGAGGGTAGGGAAATCCAACTTTGCTTGAGGTTGTTACATCAAGAGTTCGAATCCTAAAATATGGATTTGGCTCTTGGGTAAGTGCAAGTGTACAAGCAGTCTTCCACCCTGTACCTTTAGAGACATAACCTGCGATTTAACTCTCTCACGATATTTCAGAGCAGGGGTGGTGAAGAACCCTTAAAATTATGGTTTAACCTTTTTAAAAAGCCTTCAAATGCACAAAAAACTAACACAACAAAAAAATAAATAAATCAAGGAATCGTACAGTACCTGATTGTGGTCCCCCATTCTCCGAAATGCCATTTTCATGGTCTAAGCTAGTCTCCATTAGCGAGTCCTGTGAGTCACCCACGTCCGAGAAATTGATGAAAATGTTGGGTAATTGTTGACTTGGAGGGAAAATGGATATATTTTTTTTTCTTTTCAACTGTTCATTTGGTAGAGAAAATGAGATTAATTTTAATTTTTCATATTCTGAAATGAAATAGACCTTCACCATTCTTCCAAACAGGCTTACGTGTATTAAAGTCTGATTTTGGCTAAGTTGGAATTTCGTTTGACACATTGGCATTAAGTTAGATTTAACATATAAAATCAATTTGGGTGATTGATGGATAACACGATGTATTATTCAGTGATAATTGAAATAAATTTATAAGTTCAAATATTAAGTAATAACGCTTGATAAAGTTCTCATATAATGATAGAATATTGATGATGTGACATTATATCTGAAATAATGTGATTGAATAGTTCAATAGTTTATGAGAGAGGGAGAGAAAACGTGATTTCAAGAGAGAAATATGAAAGATAATAAATTGCCACGTCATCATCGTTCCAATGTCACGATAATAAGTTTCGGTTTGATATTCATTTTTTTTTAAATGTATTTTTCTCTTTTTTCTTTACAATCACATATTTTTTATCAAAATAATATTATACGTAAATAATAAAAATCTTCATTTTTCAATCACACATTTTTTATTATTTTACTATTTTAAAATATATTTTTACATAAAAATGAATCTCAGACACTCTCCCTAAATAGCGTTTTTGATTTTATTTATTGATTTATCTTTGGTCAAAATTTCGTCTTCTTGGAATCAAATCACACAGTCTACACCACTCTTCCTTTGCAAGCACCCTTTCTCTTCCAATTCGTTGCTTCTGACGAACAAATGCTCTCGTGCACAAGTATTTCCACAAACCTTTCTCTCTCCATCAAAAATGGATTTTGGGGTGATTACACTCCAAGAGCCCTCTCCCAATCCAGATTCATCTGAGCCCGACAATAGCAATAGCCATGGATCTGTGAATCTGAAGCAGGAAAGATCAGAAATTGCTGAGGACACCGGCAAGGAATCAAAAATAGCAAGAAATGGAAGTTTCACTGCTTTTGGAAGATTCGGTCTATGGCCATCAGGAAGCGATGATGGCCAGAAAATGCTTTCATTTTCTTCTGCTGATCTACATCCTAACGAAGGAAATATCACAAAATATTACAGCAGAACAGGAGGTATCTCGATAAATATACTTGCTTAGGGTTGGAATTTATTATGCTACCTAGAACTCGTCTAAAAGCTTAGCTGTTATTGGCAAAGTTTATATATAATATGTAATCCTTTGTTCAGCCCATAAAATATGAACTATTGAACTCTACTGTCATACCATTTTGTTCAAAAAAAAAAATTACTGGGAATTGGCAGGTGGACCTTGGTAAATTTGGATTTTCTTGAGAGAAAATATTAAATGTGCAAAAAGATTTTGTACTGCGAGCTTTTGGAGATCTGGATTTTGGAGAATGAAGAGCAGTGGTGACAATATTATCTTTTTTGAAACCTGTAAAATTACAAAGTTTTGCAACTTGCAATAAAGAGAAATGTGGGGTTGTTTGTTTATGATGTCGTATGTTGGCTTTATTTCTCTGCACTGGTTTCTGGCTGGAGGAGCGGAGGGTCTTATTAAGATTTGATGGGGTCTTCTAAAGAAAAGAAAAGGTTTGCGATTTTTATTTTTCTGGGCCCGAGTACTGTTTGAAAAGAGAAAAAAGGGGTACTTCTATTTTTTTATTTTTTGGGAAAATATTTACACCTGGTTATTTAAAATAAAAGTGTCACTTTTTATTTGATCTATATATTTTTTTTCAACAATCTTCTGGATGAAGATTGTCCTGATGGGATTGTTTTGAAGTATGGACGTGTTTGGGCAATTTAGGTGTATATAGTTGATGAGATTGTTTATTGAGATGTTAAAGAGTAAAAAATGTCATACAAGTGGATGAAGAGTTCCTTGGTGCTATAAGAAAAATGACATATTCAAAATAGCATATATGACAGAGGTATCAGCTTTCCGTGCTATGAAGGTGTAAGAGATCATAATTGTCTACGTATTCAGGTGTAAATCAAAGCTCTTGGAGAATATTCTTTGTTGTATAATATTTGCCAAGGCATAGTTTTAGACGAGGAATAAATCACAAAACGAACTTTAGAGGAGTATTTTGAGTCTTTACAATGAAGTAGAACTAAGACAGAGCGCATGCAATTTCCTTCCATCAACAATATGGAGACAAAAAAATAAATTGTTAACAAAAAGAAAGGAGCCACTACAAAGAATTGTGGTCGATAGTATAGAACGAAGTAATGTAGAAATTATATGTGACAAAGATCTCTCTAAGAATAAAAGGCTAATTCTAAAGGAAAAAATGCCCATGAAATAAGTACAGGGGAAATGAGGATGTTATGATGGATGCATGATCGTTCTAAGGTACTAAGCTAAACAGTATGAGCAAACAAGTAGGGGTAGCACGAGTTGACAATAAGTACAGTTGGGTTGTGTCTTGTGTAGACCTAAAGAGGCTCAGCTGAACAGATTAAAAGTTGGAGGAGTAGACCAACTCAATCATAGACTATTGTGGTTGTAAATATCAATTTGGATTAGATGTAGCAATGAGTAGAATGAAATGGCAAAAAAGATTCCATTCATTCAATCGAAATTTACCGAGAATAAAACTAAGTTTCCTTTTTGTTAAAAGAAAGAAAAAACTGATTTAAGCTTTTACTTGCTTCAGGTCAGTTGAATGAAGGTATGCACGGTTCTTTGGCTAGATTCCAGGGACCATTTACTCCCTCTCAATGGATGGAGCTGGAACAACAGTTGTTGATTTATACACACATTTTGGCCCACGTCCCAATTCCTTCCAACTTAATTATGCCTCTCCTAAGATCCCTCTACCCATATGCTACTTCTGGATCTTATGCCTCCAATGTTTGTAAGCTTTCTCTCCTGTTACTTTTAACACACAAAAAAGATCTTCATTTCCTTAATAGACATTTATTCTAAGACAGATGTACTAAACAAGTTGTTAATTTCATGCCCCCCCCCCCCCCCCCCCTCTTTCTTTTATGTTCTTTCTTCTCTCTTTACCTTGAAGCCCTTAAAATGATAATGGTGCCCTGCATTTTTATTTTTTTGCTTTCAGTGGGATGGGGTCCTCTCCATTTAGGTTTATCAAGCAGCAAGGATCCTGAGCCTTGGAGGTGTCGGAGGACAGATGGAAAGAAATGGCGGTGCTCGAAAGATGCTGTTCCTGATCAGAAGTATTGTGAAAGGCACATTAATAGATGCCGCAACCGTTCAAGAAAGCCTGTGGAAGGCCTGAAAGGCCATGCTGTCTCTGGATCCACTACTTCAAATGTGGCACCAATTGCTTCCTCCTCATCAGCATCAGTGATATCCAGAAGCAGCTTGTCTAACAATCTTGGATCCATGCTGAACCAGCTCAATCCCTGTGAGACCCACACTGCCCAGGCTTCAATCATTTATCCCGCTAGCAGGTGAATAATCCATCATAGATCCCAGTTTCCTTTAAGCCGTGAATGACATGCTTGTTTTGCTGGATTGGGCAGTTATGGGTGGGATTAAGTAATAAAATTTAGTTAAGATCTAATACATTATCGTGTGTTATAGTGTCGTGTACAGCGTACCTAACATGCCGTAGGTGTAGGATTTTAGCATCTATGAGGTAGAAAGCTATACATGTTCATTTTTATCCCTCGGTTATTACCCTCTGATTGTTCCTTTTTTCTCTTGCGTAGTGACAAAAATGTATACGGCAGAACTCAAGAATACCAAAGCCTCACATCGACACCCACCACCATCAATCTGAAGCCTAAAGACACGTCACTTTCCTTCCAAAACCAGCATGCCCCATTTGAAGAATTTGCTCACTTGGAGTTTGGAACTAACTCAGATTCCCGAGTCAATCCTTCAACAAAATTTTCGTACTTGAATGCTAGAAATCCCAATTCTTTCCTGGATCTAGAATCAAATGACCATCATCTGGTAAGCCACTTCAATGATTTAACTGACCAATCTGATCACACCTCTGTCTCATGGGCTAAAAAACAGAAATCTGATTGGACTCAGCTTTCAATGTCGATCCCAGTGGCTCCCTCAGATTTTTCACCATCCACAGATTTTTCTCCACAAACAAAGCCTACCTTTTTACCTTTAAGACTATCTCCTGAGCCCGACCCAGTTCAGATGAGCTTGGGCATTAATAGTAATATTGGTGAATCAAATCAAAAGCAATCGACTTGGTTACCAGTTTCTTGGGGAATCTCAATGGGCGGTCCATTAGGGGAGGTCTTGACCAGCACATCCACTAATGCAGGAGTAGGCAGTAGTTCGACTGTTCTGAACCTGATGACTGAAGCTGGGTAAAGTAGCCCTCAGGTGAGATCTTCTCTGACAAGTCGCCTTTGGTCACGTTTTAATAAGCTAGTTGAAGGTACTGAACGAAGATGTTTCCATTACTTTCATTTTTGTATTTTTCCTTTTTCTTTCATCTGTCTATGCAAGTGTTCTTAATGCATAAACCTACTCAAACTTGAGCACTGAACTCGATTCGGTCATGGTTCAGTCATCTGTATTCTATAATTCACAGTAGCAACATTTTATGTCATCTTAACCTTGATCAGAAATCTCAGTACATTTTTTGCCTAAATGTACAACGAGATGCTTGAGTGTGAGGCTTAATACAGTTCAAGCCAACAAGATTACTCAACTCATAATAGACAAATTTGCAAAAGATTATACATAAATGCCTCAAAAGCATAAAGAACATAGTATGAAGACTTATATTACAATTAAAGATATTTTTTTCAGTCATGCTAGGGTGCCATAATTATTTTGACACCACAATTGACCTACACTCAGGGTTCATGACTCATGAGGTCGGTACGGGTCTCATGTCAATGTCAGGGTCGGTCATCTAGGTGGGCAAAATTCATTTGGCAGCATGGCTTTATTCTATTTTATATTTATATATAGATTGCAATTGTTATGAAAGTAATAGAACAGTAATACTTTGAATGTTAGTTGATATTGGAATCATAAGTAGTGGCATTTAACCAGCTTAATTAGTAGGAACTCAACTTCTTCACTTAAAATGGGGATCGATTCTTCAAAAGACCAATTAAAATTAGAGATTGAAGCCACCGAATTGCTATTGGAAACGGATTCATGAGCTGGTAGGGAAATTATTGCCTTCTCGTTGCCAAGATTCGAGGGCTCCAATGTTGAATCACTGTAGAATTCGCCTTGTGCATTGCCCTCATTTTCTCTCTTTTCGTTCTTCCTTTGTCTTTTATTTTCACCATTTTCATAGATTCTGCAAAGTACAATATCATTGGCCTGTATAGAGAGAGACAGAATAGTTATTTAAGCAACTTTTTAAAAATACTCAATTTATATAATAGAATGGTAAAGAATACGATGTGTGGAGTAATTTTACGAACTTGAATTCATTTGATTATAATCAACATATATGTTTAGTAAAGATGACAGACCTCCTTGTTCGCTGATGCACCGTCTGAGGGAGGAAGTAAACGATCGTGCAGGATGAACTCGTGCATAATCCAATTAGTCTTTACGCCAAATCCTCTTTCTTGTTTTGTCTTTTGGAAGTAAACAAGGGGGTTCTTTCTTCCGAGAGGGGTGTCATCAATGTCGAAGATTTCATTGATACCGCTTGTCATTCTCCGATCATTTCCCATCCTTCGTGCATCGATTTGGCCTCGATACCTTGTGAAACTTTTGCTCCCTCGGAGTAAAGAAGTAAGAATATTGTGCTCCATCCTCCAAAAGGCTTTAGATATTGAAAATGGTAGAAGAAAAGATATAAGAAACATGGGGTAAACAGATGAATTATTCATGAGCATTTGGGCTTCTTTTGTACAATCTTGATACACAAGAAAATAAATAATTTCAAAAAATATTAAATTCTTTAAAAGTTTCAGTGGAACATAGATATCAGGAAAACCAACTGAACAAAAAGAAAAATAAAATTAAAAGATAGTACCAAGAACAATGCAAATTAATGTAAAAAGTTGAACGAAAACAGAGATGAAAATTGTTAATAAACATGAGGGTTTCTTTCGTAGACAAGAAAACTGAAGTGACTTTTAAAAGAATAAATACTAATAAATTGGTTCCTTTGCATTTTAGTACCTCAACATAGACGCAGGCAGAAAATAGACCAAACCAAAAGTCAAGTTAAAGTTAATTTGCTCGTGATGTATTGACTCAATGTCTGCTTCTTGGAACAAACGTGAATGCAAATAGATGAATTAGTAATGACCATTAGGTTTTTGTTTGTACATTCTTGATATACAAGAAAACTAAATATCTTTTAAAAATACCTAACATCAAGATTTAGGCAAACCCTAAATTTCGTTTTTAAAGTTTTTTGCAGTCAGAATTTTAGTTTATTTCAGTACACTAACTAACAATATAAATCGTGCAAACCCTTTATAAACAGCGATATGCAAGAAAGATAAACACGAATCTTGATATGCAAGAATTCGTTCCTTTACATTTTCTTAGCTGAAGGAAGTTGGGAAGGTTGACAACAGTAAGCATCCATGTCATGTATAACACCCGGATATACGTACGAGCCTTTAACTTTAGGAAGCAAATAAAGCTTCAATATTTCATGATCATGAGGTTCAAATCTTTAACCAGGAGAGATAATAATCTTTTCCAACACCCTTTATGATCCACTCTCTCTACTCAAAAATTACGCTGCTGACAAACTAATATATGATTCCCTGTTGCTTAGCAATTTCGCAGTCTCTCTATTTTTCTTCCATCACTGTTTGTGTGTACCTTTTTATTTTTATTTTTTGGGTTTCAGATTTCTTGTGCCTATTTCTAAAACAGATTTTACACTTACAATGGAAACGGAAAGGGCCACAGCACAGGGAAAAACTTTTACTCCATCTTTTTACAATTTTTAATTAACTCCAATTTGTTAATCAGCCTTGGATTGACGCACCGGTATAAATGGATTGAGTTGTGGCTCGTGAAGCCTGATAAGTCCCTTTTTTTTTTTTTTTTTTAAATGAATCGGCTTAACGGCTTATAGAGTTTTATACAGTAACATTGTCTATATTTTACATCAAATTTGCGAGTGGACGTTAGAGTAGTAGTCACTTTATCTATTTTATCGTACGCGTAGCGGCAAATCCAGAATTGAAGTCCAACTAGGACGGGTTGACCGTTGACCATCGACGATCGTAATAGTCCGATCGTTTAATAAAATTTGATTATATAATATTAAAAATTATTCAATATATATGTAAATGAAACAAAATGTCAAAATCGTATACATATGAAAATATACTTCAATACAATCCAAAATAATAATAAAAATATACGATACAAATTTACTCAATTACTCTGTAACTGTAAATTTAGACAAGTGCATTCTAGGGGGTCTCATGATTTGAAAACATTGCAATATTGTCTTATTCTCAAGTTTTTTTAAAAATAGCTTTCTCCCCGTAAACCACCAAATTGTCATTCAACCAGTCATCTCCCATTTTGTTGCGCAAATCACTCTTAATTAGATTTAAAGCAGAAAATACTATTTCAACACTTCCAGTTGCCACAAGTAATAACAAAGTCAAGGTGAGCAGCCTATAAACTAATGGAAAATAACCAGAACTTCTAGTTTCAACCAACTCTTGAGCTACACAAGATATGCTATTGAGATTAAAAAAAATTTCGTCCATTCTCACAAGCAAAAGAAACTTATCAAGTTGAGGTCTAAGTAATAAAAATTCTTCACTATTGAAGTCCAAATGATAGAACTGAGCAAGATGTAGCAATTTATCCTCATCAAAAGCTGCAAATGAATCTCTTGGACTTAAACATGAAATGCAAGTAAAGATCTCAGTAGTTATTTTTGGAAAACGATCATTCAACTCTTGCAAGATTGAGTCTATCGCATTACAATACAAATCAACATAAAAGCAATGAAAATAAGTCACCTGCTGAGCTACACGCCTAGGTTGACCTTTCACTATTACAATATCCTCCATATTGGACACTAAAATATGTCTACTAACACAAAACTCAATCACCCTACTCAACAAAGTATCATAACCATTTTCTCTCAGGTTCTGCAATGCACACTTACACAAATTCAATAACCTCATAGCATTCTGAATATCATGATTTTTTTCTGTAAGGCTTGTGAAATGTCGTCTGTGATTGTAAGAATTTCAAACATAAAGTGAAAACTGAACACAAACTCAAAATCTTGCATAGTGTTCATTTGTCTTACGGTCGAAGATTTTTTATCTGAATGTACGCCATTTTCTGATATATTTTCAAGAACATCTATGAAAGCATTAAACTTATTAATCAAACGAGTAATTGTCAGTAGATGTGAGCCCCACCTAGTATCACCTGGGCGTGCTAAATTCATTTTTTGAAATTGACCACTTCCACTAGTAAGTTCCCCAATATTAAGCTTCTCCAAAATATTAGTTTGATACTTGTTTGAAGAGTATCTACATGCTTACATGATGCATTAACCAAATTCACAATAATAGTAAGCATGTCGAAAAAATCACTAAGCATACAATTCCTACATGCCACGGATACGATTGTCAATTGAAGCTGGTGAGCAAAGCAATGAACATACATAGCATGTAGGTTCTCTCTTAGAATTAAAGCTTTCAACCCATTGAACTCATCTAACATATTATTTGCTCCATCATAGCCTTGACCTCTCAGGCTAGATAAGCTCAACTCATGTGTAGAAAACATTGCATCAATGACATCCTTCAGTGATTGGGCACAAGTATTAATGACATGGGACATACCAAAAAAAGGCTCCTTCACTTGCCCACTTTGGTCAACAAACTTCAAAACAACTGCCATTTGTTTTTTCATAGAATTATCACGAGTCTCATCAACCAAAATTGAAAACAAAGAATCACATATCTCATTGATAATAGCCCTTGTCGTCTCTACGGCACAACAATTAACCAAATCATTTTGGATGGTTGGTGAAGTCATTTGGTCATTTCCCAGGAGCATTACAAAATAATACTTCTTTAATTTCCTTCCAACGAGCTACATACCAGTTCAGTAACTCAATTAGATTTTCTCTATTATCAGACTCTTTGATTCATCATGACCACGAAATAACAATCCTTGCATCAAGAGGAGTCTAGTATAATCTAGCACCGCAGCCAACCTGGTCTTATAACTTTGTTGTTGACTACTACTTTGGCTAGAAATAAAGTAGGAGATACTTTGCTTTTGATTCATCAAGTTGGCACACTTTGCAAAAGCTTAATTATGAGCACTATCAAAGAGATCGACATAATCTTTCAATATCTTTTTTTGCTTCCAATCCTTAAAGCCAGTCTTAGTAAATATATGTCCACCCCCTTGACTCCGTCTATCGAGTTTGAGCAAGTAGCAATGCAAATAGTATGCCACGTTCTTTTCTATACTGTATTCCAACCAATAAAATTCAAAGAACTATTCTTTTCGAAAACATCTATTATCATTCCCCATCGATTTTCTTGGAAAATCATGTCCATAAAGTTGACAATGACCCTTTCCAAGTATGCCATCCTAACATCATCCCTGATGTTAGCATCATATGACTCACTAGAGGGGCGTATCGCTGGATCAGATACAAGATCATCCACATTTAATTGAGCTCGGGACTTCTTTGTGTTATTCAATAACTCTTATGCTCGACTAGAATCAGTGGAGGGACTAGATGCAAAACTAGAAGTAGAAGAATTGGATATGGACTTTCGTTTTGGTTGAAAAAATCTTCCATAATCTACAAAATGCCCCAATTTATTTTTCAATTACAAAACATAAATTACTTATCATAAATCACAATTTGCAAACATAATTTCGTAAACATAAATTCCCAAATCATTAATCATTCCTCACCAAAACATATATTACTTATCATAAATCACAATTCGCAAATATAATTTCGTAAACATAAATTCCCGTATCAATAACATAACTCATAAAACGTAAATTACTTATCATAATTCATAAATCACAATTCGTAATTTTTTAATTCCCAAAGGAATAAATCATAACATATTTAACATTAACTTAAGTCACCGACCTGAGAAAAGAATCCTTTGGCATTAATATTGGCTCCAACCAGAGAACTTGCTCGCCAAGTGGACAAAGAATTCTGAGATTCTGATCCAAAATTAGACACTCTATCAGTGTCTATGGGCGATGCCAATTTCACGCCAAATTGATACCCTTAATTTTAAACATGGTGTTGAGCAGTTAGCATATACAAATTACAACACAATAAAATTAAATTTGCCAATTTAGCACTTAGCAAATACAATTATACAAACAGGCTGCGAACCAGCGAAGGATGAAGTGTCTCGTCACTCTCGTGTGCAGGTACAGACATCTTTTCTCATTCATTACGATGAACAAATCTAGGCAAAACAAGTCAGAAGAGGAAGTGTTAGACCAAAACTAATTCAAACCACTGTACTTGCTAATTAAATACATAATACAAATCCAGGCAGAAAATCCATTTCTAATTAAATACATAATGTCATAATAGACATTGAAAAGTGAAAACAGTTTGGTGAACTTATAAGTTATAATTACACTTACACGTGATAGAATCGGGGTTATTCATCAAAAAAAAAAAAACCCCTTAAATCTAGATTTCAGAGAGAAATTTTACATTATTTAAGCACCAAACAAAATTAACTCATTAAACAAACACACAGAGATAGACAATACAAGAATATAAAAATCGACCATATCAGACCAGGGGCGAACCGGCGATCCGATAGGTGGCACTGTCGTGTCTTGTGTGTAGCCAGTGCAGGGCAAGGGCGAACAATGAAGAAGGAAGAATTGAAGAAATTGGAAAAGAGTTTTTTGCAATTTGGCTTCCTTCTTCTAGTGTTCCACCGCTTCCACAATTTGGGAGAAATGGGATCAGTTGATTTGGGCATTTGATTCAATTTTATTGGCTAATTGGATTATTTTCATTTAACAATTGGACTAACACTAAGAGACCCAAATTTTGAAGCCCTGCCCACAGCCGAAACAAAAGAAAAAAGGTCCTCTCGTCTTCCTTCCTTCTCCAGAGAGATAGAGACAAACTCTAGCGCTTTTGCAACTGGCGCCACCTAGCAGCTTTGAAGATTCCAACGGAGCCAGCACGTGCGGTCGCGCCCCCTCGTCGAGTGCTAGCTCCGCGCTTGCGTACGTGGCCTAAATTTGTTTTCCCTCCTTTGACAACAATAATGTATTTTTATTGAATTCATAATAAATTCAAAGGTATCACGGCTGCTAAATCCGTCATGATAAGAAAAGTTTAATAACCTGTATGTGAAGTAGTGTCCAATATATATATATATAGAGAGAGAGAGAGAGAGAGAGAGAAGTGCCTTCCTCTATTTTTTTATTTTTATTTTTTCCTCCCTTGTTTTTGTTAGGATTTTAACGTTTCGGGACCTGACCTCCTGCGGATTTCAGAAGGCAGGAGTCGTTGATTAATGTTCTAGATCAAATTGTTGTGCTCATTTAGCACCCCTTTGGTAGCAATTTTTTGACGTTATTTTACTATTTCAGTCATTATTTTTGACTTCCTCACTCACAGGTGAAACCCTTTTTTCTCTCTAACGGTCAAAAACTCAATTTTCATAATTACTACTGAACAGACCCTTAATAATGTGGCTCAAAATGAATTAATTGGATAAGTCCCTTTTCGATTTATCATAATGTTCTAGAATGTTTATTAATTTTTCAAAGTTTTCGATTACTTGGGCAATAGTTTAATGATTTGGGGAAATCTCGAATTAAAATGGAAGAATATAAATTGAGTCAGAGTCGTAATACTTTCACAAATTCGATTTCTCCAAATTTTCCGAATATCATTTTTTTTTTGTTTCGAGATATCTTAGTAATTTTTATATATTTTTGAAATAAATTCAAAATCAATATTTAGTTTCCACTGAAAAACAAAAACATATATGAAATGGGGAAAAAATAACTAATTTTTGGATAGAGTATAAAGTATATAAAAATTAGGAAATAAATAGTGGATAAAGGATAGATCTCTAACACGATCCTTAAATGTAGGAAAGAAAACATAGTCAAAAAGGAGAGAAAGGTTGCACTATGAATATGAATAGACAAAAATATATACACAATAAACAGATAGAAGAGTGCAAATTAAATTGCAGAGTAGAGAGAATGGATAAAGGGAGTGGGAAAAGAGTATTAACGTCCTCGGGTACATATTTGAACCTCAAGATCACGAATTATTGAAGTTTTATTTGCTTCTAAAGTTAAAGGCTTGTACGTATATCCGGCCATTATACACGACATGGTGCTTATTGTTGTCAACCTTCCCAGTTTCCTTCAGGTACTAAAATACAGTTTATATTTTTTTGCATATCAAGCCTCTGTTTGTGCCCCTTAATTTCTTTTAATGTATTATGGAATAGTAAATTGATGAAAAATATATTGTTAAAAGAGAAGAAATTTTTTTAATTTACGTGCAATATTATTTTAATAAGGAATGTGTAGTTAAAAATGAGTATCGTAGAAAAAATAATAGGAAAGAATGGGAAAAAAAAATGGGACTCAAATAGTGGCCAAGATTCTTGTTCATCTTTCTTGAGTATAATTCTTGCATATCAAGACTACTTTTTATTGTTTTTGGGTATATAATAAGTGTATTTTATACACTTATTTGGACCTAAAAATATTGATATTTAATAATTCTTTAAGCAATTATAGCTTTAATTATTGTGTATTTTATTTATTAGGTAAAACTCGATGGTTGGAAGTTGAATTGAAAGAAAGAAGGCGAATTACAAAGTTTGAGGACCAAATCACAAATATCCAATGGTTAATTTGGATCATAAAAGATACTTTGAAGATTGATAGAAGTCAGTCAGATGCAATTAGAAGTAAAAAAGGAATGGAACATGATCAAAATATTACATAAATCGATTTTCAATCGCATGAGATAGTTAAAGATTGAGACCCATTTTTGACATAGTAAACGTTCGAATTGGAAAAATTTTACTTTTAACAAAATTGTAATTCTTTGAGTTTGCTTTTCAACGCATTATGAATCAACTCAATTGGATATCGAGAAACAAAGTTATGATCAAAATATTGATAATCGTGCAGAGATAAAAAAAAAAACCTCGCGCGAAGGTAACTTGACTTATTTGAATGGGTCGAACTATATGCAATTCAAATAAATTTAAAGGTCTAATTTGATAAAGCTACTTTTTGCTTTAAAAAAAAAACGGTTAAACAGTCAAACTTCATTTGTCATTTCGATCATAACTTTTGTCCACTTTTTAATCAAATATTTTACGGAATTCTCTAACTTTTATCAACTTTCTTTGCTAAAATTCTACATCCAGCATGCGTTAAGCCAAGAAAGTAATACACTAGGAAAGATAATGACATATTCACAACTATCCATAGACGAACCCACATGGGGTCATGTGGGGTCAATTGACCCCACAAAAATTTCTGTATTTTTTGTTTTTAAATTTGTAAATTGTTCAAACTTGTTGCCAAATTTTTTTTAATATGTAAATTAACCACAACTTTACCCATTGGCAAACCCAATTGCACAAGCTCAATTGCATATTACCAAAACTTTGATTTTCATCATTTCACATGCATTTGGAGTTTTGAACGATCGTCCATTGCCCTAAAGCCCCACAGAGAGAAGAAAATGAAGAATCGACCGACACAAAGAGTTCGAGATCACCAAATCGCAATTCAGATTTTGGGATTTTCTTTTCTTGTGCTAATTTTGTGATTTTACTTCCATTTAGATAACAAATCTACCATCTACTTGTTTGACATTTGTTTTTCTTCCAAGTTCCATCTAGGTTGGCAAACTTGTATTAATTGGATTTGGATGTGGGCTTTAGTTTATTTTATTAATTTGGGCCTTTTCCCTTAATTAGTTGGTTTTTCTTTTTAAATTTGAAATATGCAAGTGCATTTCTACTTGTTGAAACTTGAAAAGTATATTATTAATGTTAATATGTACCCTTGTCCAATTGTCGCTTAATTTCTAGTTTCTAGACTCTAGTTTGTGCCTCAGTTATCTTGATATTAAAATTGTGTTTCGAAGTTCTATGGTCATGATCTCATTTTTCCCTTAAATTTTTCCCTCATGATTCGAAGTTCTATCGAGAATGATGTATTCAACAATATTGGTAATGATGAATCATACGACGTTTTCAGAGTATGAAAAGTTGTAGGTTGTAGTTGTAGTAGTGTATTGACTTATTTTCATTAATGATATGTTGTTTTTAAAAAAATTCGATTTCAAATTTGACCCCACAATACAAACGTCTGGCTCCGTTCCTGCTAGGGCTGTAAGCAAAAATCGTCAAACCGAAATAATCGAATCGAAACCGCATTTTAGAAATCATCAGTTTGGTGCCACGTGGACCCGGTCAACGAAATGGTTTTGACCCAATGGTTTGGTTTAGGTTTGAGAATTTTAATTGCGGTTTAAAATCAAACCGGATTAGCGAAAAAATATAGAAAAATGAAAAAATGATTTTTTTTTTTTTTTTTTTTGTAAATTTATGGAAATATGTAAAATTCAATGGTTTCATTTGTGGGTATTTTTGTCAATTTCTAATTTTCTAATATAGATATATTATTATTATTATTATTATTATTATTATTATTATTATTATCATCATCATCATCATCATCATCATCATCATCATCATCCAATAATCCTAATATATATCTAATAATCTCAATACTAACATAATCTATCAAAAGTTATTTTCCTTTTCAGAATTTAGATGAACTTCAACCGACATCCAACACAGTCTTGAGCCATCGGTATCACACACTTCTTTTTCAGATTTTTCACGCCTCTTCAAAGTTGGATAGTAGTCTATTATACCAAATCGGAGAGAAAAAGATCCTAGACATTCGGTGATAATATTTGCTATGAATAAAGTTTCGGATCAATAATTTTTTTGGAACAAATTAAGGTAAGAATCTAAAATTAAATGCATTTCGTAACATCATAAAAACGTAAACTTGTGTAGTTGTTATGTTTATTATTGTGGTCGGTTATTTTCTTTATCTAATCAGTATCTTTTTTTCAGATATGATGATCACGAGATCTTATTGAACATCATTATATTTTTTGGGCCTTATATCTAATTTAGTAGATTTATATTGTAACGTTATTATATTGTCATTAGTCTAAAAAATGTGAACAAAAATGAAAAAAAAACTATGTTTTAATTTATTATAATTTTTCTTTGATTTAGTTGATATTTAAATTTATAATAGATATATTTAGCCTCTGTTTGAGTCATATTTTCCATATCATCATAATGAGAAAATTGATCGTTGGAGAGGATGTAAGGTCCCACACATGAAATAATAGGTCAACAAAGGCATTGGACTTGTGGAATAATGATCCAAATTTTCATTTTTTTGTTCCAAAAATTTGGTTCAAACAGGTGTTTAGTTTGTTTTAGATTTATTGCTAGTAAGATATAAATATATATTGAATTCAATGAATTAATGACATAAAAGTAGACGGAAAAAAACATATGGCGAAACCGGCGATTTAAAATCGGACCAAATCGTTAGGTTTAGGTTTAAGTTTTTTTCAAACCGTTCGAAATGGTTTGATTTAGGTTTGAGTTTTTCTCACACCGATTTAAACGGTTTGGTTTGAAAATCTGTCAAAAATCGATAAAATTGGACCGCTTACACCCCTAATTCCTACAACTACCAGAGGAAGAAAAAGATCAGGTTGACGTATAAAAGGTGGCGTGATCTATAGTAGTTATGTCTGGAAAAACTGAATGGTGGAGAAGTTGGAGATGGTCCACTAGACAACATTGATAAGAGCAATTGAATTTGCAACTTATAGCTATATGATCATCATCAATTTGGCCTTTGGGTGTATATACGCGTCTGCATTTGTTACGTGTGTGAAATGGCAAAATCGAGACATGTTCTTTTCTATAGAGAGAGATAGAGAATCATAAGACGTTATTATTGGTGTCCAGTGTCCACATCTGTCAAACATATCTTAATTAATGTTCTGATGATAATTATGTAAAATAGACAAGTTTCTTGCTTTCATTATCATGAGTAATTTAATTAAAGTGCCAGCATTATGGAAGAGAAAGGTCAACGCATTAGTTGTCTTTAAGAAACAAAGTCAATTCATTTTGTACAATTTCAAGCTGGTGCATAGCCGCGGGTGGGATGCAGGGGTATGGGCGGGTGGGTATTGATAGGGGGGTGTGGGTGAGCTTGGTTGGGAGAGAAGAAATTTTTCTAAATTTTTGTTCATGTGTTAATATAAATTTAAATGTGTTTTATTCGTGCTTTTTGAAAATTTATGAGATTTCATTTGCAATTTTTTCTTATTTTTTGTTGTTTTACTGCTTTCCTTATTTTTGTTTATTTAAAGAAAATGACAATTCTATCGATCAAAATGGAGGGAATGAATTTTGCTACATAATTAAAAGATTGAGAATAGATTTTGCTAAAAAAAAAAAAAAAAAGGTTGAGGGTTGTTTTTTATATTTACAAAGGTTGGGGGAAAAAAGCAAATTTCCATTGTAAGTTTTAAGAATTTGATTATTAATAAATTTTGAATGAGGACCTAAGTGCCATAGTAGTAAAGTCTAGGGACCGAGGCTATAAACTTCCCAATTAATTCAAATCCAATTGACCTCTTCTGATAAAGGGAATCATACAAGACTAGTCAGTATTAAAAGAAAAAGAACTAAATTTTTTCGTTCTATTATTTAACCTTGTATATCAAACAATCCTTAAAGGAAAATGATCTTCAAGTGTATCTCTTCCATTTCCTTCTACAATTAATGAAAATGAGATATTAATAACTGTTCTCATTATAAGTTAGTCAAGAACCCTTTAACTTCTTAACACTTAGAGCATGTTTGGTGCTAATAATGAGAATCAATTTTTTTATCGTTACCTTGAAAATTGGGTTCCAAACGAAAATGTCAAAAATGACTGCTGGCTATATTAAATAACAGTCAAAAAATGACTTTTTGGCTTGAAAAGTCAGAACCAAGCAGGACCTTAATTTTGATAAGCCTAATTATCTAAAAATTCTCTTAAAGTAGAAGTTAGTAAAGTAGATAAGTATGCAAAGATTGAATAAAATAGATAAGTATGTGACGATGTAACGTAATTACTTGCTCCATCAAATTTGCAATTTTGAACTTTCCATACATAGACAAGTGGATGCATTTAGACTTTTTAGTGCACTTTTTTCTTCATCTCCCAATAATTTGTGGACTTTTCTAGGTTGTATTTGTCTTCTTTATAAAGACTATTAATTTTATCACATATTTTTCTTTCTTCAATTTTTTTTCTTTTAAACTTTGAACTATTTGTTTTAACAAAAAACATGTATGCATTTTAATTTTATCGATTTTAAACAATTAATTTAACCGCACATTATATGGAACCCATAATTTTTATCAATTATTCAACCATATATTTAATTTTTTTTATGAAAATCTACTAAAGTTTTGTCAAAAGCTCTGTCAAACGACGTTGAATGTTAATGTGCAACTACAATAAAAGGTTAGGTATCAATTGCAATTGAAACAATTAGTTGAGGACCAATGGTGCTATTTCCCCTAAAATGAAGCTCAAACCACGCAGCTTTTTATTTTATTTTTTAACAAAAAATTATTAACTCTTTTGATTGACTGGGTAAACTGAAATTACAACTGTACCCCGACAAACTTTAACCACAAGCATCCCGAAATTGACTCGCAGCCACAAGTTTTTGCTTAACATTAAATTGACGTGTTAAGCACCTGTGAATCCGAGCCGCCGCATTAAATGCCACGTCATTTTCATCATGCACACGTGCCGTTTTCTACTCCATATGTTCCTGCCACGTCACCTTTGCTCAAAATTCAGAACGCTTTGACTGAGGTAATTACAGACCACCTGAATTGGCCTTCCTAAAACATCTCTAAAACATCTCTCTACCACTTTTACCAGATTGATTTTCCAAGAATTGTATTAGATTAATACTTGTCAGCATTTTATTGGTAGCTGAACCAAATTTTTTTCCAACCATCCAATCACAATTTGCCAACTCATTCGGACAATCGATTCTGGTAAAATGGCATGAGTCATATATAGATCCACATATCTTTCTGAGCTCGTGGCAACTGTATATTTCTTGGCTTCTTGTTCTCTCACAACCCCATCCCAAACCACCCTACCGCGTCTCTGCATTTGATGCCAAGAAATTCAAGTAATTTACTAGCTTATATAGCCACCTTGATTAAAATCTTGAAAGGAGCTTTTTTTTTTCTTGGTAATTAAATAAATGTTAATCTGCATAATTAAATTATTTCAATTACAGCTTTCTTTAATGCATTCTTGATATAGAGATTTATATCATTCAATAAGTACTTATTTTCAATTGTGTTGACTATTTTTCCAAATGGATTTTCTCTTCAAGAACCCTTCCTTGAGATCCCAGTTTTTGAGTTTTCAGAGTTTCGAAATTCTGGTTAACTGGAACGAGTTTTTATTCAACTCAAACGGGTTTTTCTTAATTTTTGAGAAATCTTATCAGTATTTGAAGAAAATTGGGATAAACTTGAATCCTTTGACTGCTGTTTTCTTCTTGAAGAATTGGCGTAAAGACCAAGAAGAACAGTTCTTGCTTATCTTTTTGTATTTCATGAATTTTCCACACGCTTTGTAAATCTTACTTTTCTATTTAAAGCTGCTTAAATCTGCTTATTTTTTCTTCAGAATTTCTCAAAATCTTGGAAAACTCATTGAATATGGATATTACTTACCGGCCTTACGTTGATCCTGATTTAGAAGTACTTCTTGAAAGAATACATCCACCAAGGTTAGTAATTCTAGCTTACATTAACTAAATACTTAGATCATTGGCATTTAATTCTTTCTCAATGTTCTTTTTTGATCATGCATGTTCTCTTTTCTGGGTTTTTAGGGTTTGTATTGACAATGACACCTATAGAGACTGCACTCTTGTCAAGGTTAGTAATAAAAACCTCAGAATCTCTCTTCATTTCTTTGTTTCCTTTCTTTTGATACGAACAATAAAGTGAATCATACTCTCAAGAAATTTAGAGTCGACTAATCGATCACATTATGAGCAGCATGTTGATGTAAACTAACAGCTTAGAATTTCAATGGCATTTTACCAAAATTTGTTAGAATCACATAATCCTACTCTACTTTATTAAAAAGTAGCATGGTTCTATATACATGCATGGTATAATCATTCACACTAGATCTCGAACGCATTAGTCACGACAACTTGGATGCGGACTGGGTCCGTCCACCCATTCTGTTTATCTCTTTTACTTACTCGATGACCAAGGTGTCATGCGGGATTCATGTGTCGTGATTTTAATGAACAAATATATAAGACCATTCGTGAATAGCTTGTATGAAGAAGAATCCACACAATTTTCCCTTCAAGAACTAAATCAGTGGGAGTATCAATAAGAAAAGTAAGTTCAACTATTGTTTATCAATCAGCGTGTAGGGTTCTAAAGTAACTCTTCAAATATTGTTTATCAATCAGCGTGTAGGGTTCTAAAGTAACTCTTCGTTAATGTTAGAAAAGTTCAACAAAGAAGGTCCAAACAGGATGCAAGAAAATGACCTCTAACTGTACAGAAATCTTTACATAAGTTATGCTATTAATTTATTTATTTTAATTAATCAGCCCAAAATTTGGTGACAGGTTGATAGTGCAAATAAGCAGGGGATGCTGCTAGAAATTGTCCAAGTTCTGACGGATCTTGACCTTGTGATTTCCAAATCATACATCTCCTCAGATGGTGGTTGGTTAATGGATGGTGTGTGAATTGTTTATTTTATTACAAAAATTAGTTTAAAAATTAAAAAAAAAATTTAATTCTGACGTATATACTAGTCAGCAATGAACTTTTTTTATATTTTTATTATTAATTTTTTGGATTCATTTGTGGCGGTTTTGATTACATGTTTTGCAGTATTCCACGTAACTGACCAACTGGGGAACAAAATTACTGACGAAGGCCTCATTCGGTACATACAAGAGGTCTCTCTCTCTCTCTATGACAGCTTTCGTCGGTTACAACATCTATACATAGGATTACGTATTGAAAGTATTAAAGCTGCACTTTCCATTAGTATCTCCACTGTCATTTTTGTAGCTTTTGTTGTTGATTTTTTATTTTTCTATATTATTCTACGTTCGTTATAGGAAATATGCACGAGTAGGGGCGGTAAGGGGGAAAATAGATCGATTATTGCCGAAGAAGAGACGAGGCCAACACTAATGTCAATTGAAAACACAGCCGTAGAGATGACAGGGATGGATCGACCAGGTTTAATGTCGGAGATGTCGGCTGTTTTAGCTGAGTTGGGCTGTCGCGTTTCTGCTGCCACGGCGTGGACTCATAAGAGCAGAGCAGCATGCATTATCTACTTGGAGGATGAGTCTAATGGTGAGCCAATCACAGACCCATGTCGTGTGGCCCAGGTTCGGGCCCAGTTGGAAAATGTGGTTGAAGCCCACCACTATGACAACGAGAGACGAAGTGTAAGGCTGACGGGCCCAGCTGTGGGCCAAACCCACACGGAAAGGCGGCTGCACCAGTTGATGGCAGCCGATAGAGACTATGAGATGTGTAGTTCTTGTTGTGACAATGACAGTGACAACGATGACGACGATGTATACGGGAATGGAAGGCATTACAAGAAGCAGAAAAAGGAATGTTATGGCACACATGTGAAAATAGAGAAATGTAAGGATACGGGCTACTCGACCGTTACCGTGAGGAGTCGAGATCGACCCAAGTTATTGTTCGACACTGTTTGTACTCTGACCGACATGCAATACGTAGTATTCCATGCAGCCATTAGCTCCAAGGAATCTATAGCTGTTCAGGTAAAAGCACAATATAGTTTATATCTTTGCACAGATTCTGTGAGTGCGTTCTTTGTTTCTAATCTTTTAACTTCTGAAAATCCCAGGAATACTACATAAAGCACAAAAGTGGACGCCCTTTGGATTCAGAAGATGAGAAGCAGTTGGTTACCCAGTGTTTGATAGCAGCTACGGAAAGGAGAATTTCTCATGTACGTTACAGAAACTAACGTTTTTCTCCCACTTGTTTACAAAGAAAAATTTAATAATCGTAATTGTACATAATTGTGCAGGGGTTAAGACTAGATATTTGCACAGAAAATAGGATAGGACTATTATCTGATATCACACGAGTAGTACGAGAAAATGGATTATCTATAACAAGGGCTGAGATCGGTACTCGGGGTGAGAGAGCAGTTGGCACATTCTATGTAAAAGATACTTCGGGAGAAAATGCTGATCCAGAAACACTTGAAAAGGTGAGACGAGAAATCGGAAGTGCTGTTGTAGTGGTAAACAAATCTTCGAGCTCCCCTTCGCGAGCAACATCCAGAACATGTAAAAGCAACAGCAGCGAAGTACAAGAAAGGTCGAGGTTTTCCCTGGGAAGCCTGTTGTGGTCGCACCTAGAGGGAATTTTGAGCAATTTCAGACCCATAAAATCCTGAAGTTTTATAGATGGAATAAGGGCTGCATTTACCTGTAAATACCGATTAGCACATGTGAACTAGTTTCTCATTCATCTGTAAATAATAAGAGCCAGCAGCAGCCCCTACAGGAAATGAGAGTTTAAATAAAACAATAAAACAATGCATGTGTCTATCTGCTTTGTTTTCCCTTCAAGAAAAAGCAGTACCAGAGTCCCAAAAATTCTCTTTTTTGGGCAAAGATTTATTCTTTGCATTTGCAGAAGTTCGTGACAAAGTATTTTGCAAAACAATAGTCCAAGAAAACGTAAATTCATCACTTCAAAATGATTATTCTATCAGCATGGGAGTGCTCGAATTGCATATGGGCACACGAGGCATTATCGAGTTAAAATCCGTCTGGATATTGCCAAATATTTACAACGCTTCTCTGAATCTATACAGCAATTTACTGAATATTTCGTAGTAAGATAAAAATCCAGGGTTCACATTATGAGGTTTATATACAAATATAACATTTGCAAAGCGTTGCTCCAAGACTCGACTCGAGAAATAACGATCAACTCTATAGATAATAGGAAAATAAAATTAGTGTATAGTGAGTATTACACGATAATCACGACATATTAATTTCTTCAACATCTAACCAGTCTGGAGAGTCTTTATCAGAATTGTAATTTTTTTTTCTGAAATTAGCAGGCATATCTCCATCATCTTCTTCAAGATCACTAAATGACACGTCATCCTCGTTCTCAACTGGGATGTTGGTTCCACCGGATCCTTGTTTTGGGGGGGGTGGGGGGGGGGGTGTTGTAATCAAACCTTATTGAATCAAATATAACAGAAACCACCCCCAACTACTATCAGTGATTTACACGCAAATCCAAGCTTCCAGGGACAAATATTTTATGACTTGCCCACTAAGAGAATTAAGCCACATCAAAAATAAATAATTATTAAATGAATCAAGAAGAAAAGGGAAATGGGAAGAATATAACAAACAGAAGATGCGTAAATGGCATGCAAGGGAATGATATGGAGGGAAAAAAATGTCATCAAAGGCCTAGCACTTTAATACATATCCTTTTAGAAAGACTAGAGATCAATGACTAAAGTTTGTTCTGACAGAAATGCTGTTACTTAAAATATTGTTCTTGGTGCTCATTTTCAGTTGGGTTCGGTGGTGGTTTTTTCTTTCTTTCTTTTTTCTTTTTTTGTTGGGGGGGGGGGGGGGGGGTTTTAAGGATACGGGCTACTCGACCGTTACCGTGAGGAGTCGAGATCGACCCAAGTTATTGTTCGACACTGTTTGTACTCTGACCGACATGCAATACGTAGTATTCCATGCAGCCATTAGCTCCAAGGAATCTATAGCTGTTCAGGTAAAAGCACAATATAGTTTATATCTTTGCACAGATTCTGTGAGTGCGTTCTTTGTTTCTAATCTTTTAACTTCTGAAAATCCCAGGAATACTACATAAAGCACAAAAGTGGACGCCCTTTGGATTCAGAAGATGAGAAGCAGTTGGTTACCCAGTGTTTGATAGCAGCTACGGAAAGGAGAATTTCTCATGTACGTTACAGAAACTAACGTTTTTCTCCCACTTGTTTACAAAGAAAAATTTAATAATCGTAATTGTACATAATTGTGCAGGGGTTAAGACTAGATATTTGCACAGAAAATAGGATAGGACTATTATCTGATATCACACGAGTAGTACGAGAAAATGGATTATCTATAACAAGGGCTGAGATCGGTACTCGGGGTGAGAGAGCAGTTGGCACATTCTATGTAAAAGATACTTCGGGAGAAAATGCTGATCCAGAAACACTTGAAAAGGTGAGACGAGAAATCGGAAGTGCTGTTGTAGTGGTAAACAAATCTTCGAGCTCCCCTTTGCGAGCAACATCCAGAACATGTAAAAGCAACAGCAGCGAAGTACAAGAAAGGTCGAGGTTTTCCCTGGGAAGCCTGTTGTGGTCGCACCTAGAGGGAATTTTGAGCAATTTCAGACCCATAAAATCCTGAAGTTTTATAGATGGAATAAGGGCTGCATTTACCTGTAAATACCGATTAGCACATGTGAACTAGTTTCTCATTCATCTGTAAATAATAAGAGCCAGCAGCAGCCCCTACAGGAAATGAGAGTTTAAATAAAACAATAAAACAATGCATGTGTCTATCTGCTTTGTTTTCCCTTCAAGAAAAAGCAGTACCAGAGTCCCAAAAATTCTCTTTTTTGGGCAAAGATTTATTCTTTGCATTTGCAGAAGTTCGTGACAAAGTATTTTGCAAAACAATAGTCCAAGAAAACGTAAATTCATCACTTCAAAATGATTATTCTATCAGCATGGGAGTGCTCGAATTGCATATGGGCACACGAGGCATTATCGAGTTAAAATCCGTCTGGATATTGCCAAATATTTACAACGCTTCTCTGAATCTATACAGCAATTTACTGAATATTTCGTAGTAAGATAAAAATCCAGGGTTCACATTATGAGGTTTATATACAAATATAACATTTGCAAAGCGTTGCTCCAAGACTCGACTCGAGAAATAACGATCAACTCTATAGATAATAGGAAAATAAAATTAGTGTATAGTGAGTATTACACGATAATCACGACATATTAATTTCTTCAACATCTAACCAGTCTGGAGAGTCTTTATCAGAATTGTAATTTTTTTTTCTGAAATTAGCAGGCATATCTCCATCATCTTCTTCAAGATCACTAAATGACACGTCATCCTCGTTCTCAACTGGGATGTTGGTTCCACCGGCACCACCAGTTTCAGAACTTTCTTCTTTCAACCAGTCATCACTATCATCCTCATCCTTCATTTCCAAAACATTAGAGGGATCAGAGTTCAACTTTTGATCCTTGACTTGGTCAACCACCTCTTCTTCAATCATCGCTTTGTCAATAATTGGGATTTCAGTGTTCTCGACTGCGTGCTTCACTATTTCAGAAGCAGCTGTAGCAGTGGAAGTGCTTAATTCAAGGGCAGATGATTTTTCAGGCTCATTTTCAGAAGGAATAGTAGATGATGCATAAAGGGAGTCTTCATGAGAAGATGCGGTGGCATCTTTTGGATCGGAAGATACTTTTCCAGGGAAGTCTTCTAGCGTTGTTGGTGTCTGGTTCTTTGACTCCTGTGCAAGCAAGGCTCTGGCTTTTATTATCTGCTTGTCATGACAGTAATGGAGGTCAACAACCTTGTCACTCAAGGAGAAAGAAAAAACCGCACAAGTTTTAGCAGCAAGTTCATTGACAAGCCATTTATCCTTGTTTTGGGGGGGGGGGGGGGGGGGGGGGGAACA